AAAATACAGAGATGAAAAATAAATGAAGTTAGAGAATATTTCCAAGAGACTGGGACAAACATCCAGCTAATAGCAGTCTCATAAAAAGCATACAATGGAATATTATGCAGCCATCAAGAAAAATGAAATCTTGGCATTTGCAATGACATGGATGGAACTAGAGGGTATTATGCTGAGCGAAATAAGTCAATCAGAGAAAGACAAGTATCATACGATCTCACTGATATGAGGACTTCTTAATCTCAGGAAACAAACTGAGGGTTGCTGGGGGTGGGTAGGAGGGATGGGGTGCCTGGGTGATAGACACTGGGGAGGGTATGTGCTATGGTTAGCACTGTGAATTGTGTAAGACTGTTGAATCACAGACCTGTACCTCTGAAACAAATAACACATTATATGTTAAAAAAGAAAATAGTAGGAAGGGAAAAATGAAGAGGGGGAAATTGGAGGGGTAGATGAACCATGAGAGACTATGGACTCTGAGGAACAAACCGAGGATTCTAGAAGGGAGGGGGGTGGGGGGATGCGTTGGCCTGGTGATGGGTATTAAGGAGGGCACGTATTGAATGGAGCACTGGGTGTTATACGCAAACAATGAATCATGGAACACTGCATCAAAAACTAATGATGTAATGTATGGTGATTAACATAACAAAATAAATTTTTTTAAAAAAAGCATGACAAAAAACAGCAAGGAAGAAATAATTGAAGAAATAGTACAAGAAAGTGGACTAGAATTTCATAGCACGAATTTTCAAACTGAAAAGAGCCACAGAGTTCCCGGCATGGTAACTGATAAGAACTTAGTTAAACTAAATCATCATGAAATGTAAAAATACTAGGGATAAAAAGATAATAATAGCTTCCAGGGGGAAAAAAATTGTCTACATTTAAAGGACTGACAGAGCGCTATCAAGTTCTCGAGCAGCAATGGGCATACAGACAGTAAAGAAATATAAAACACTGAGGAAATAGGACTTCCACCTTGGAATTTTATACCTAAACAAACTAGCAGTCAAGGGTGGAATATATACACATATTTTTATGCAAGGTAGGGCAGGCACACATTCTGACCTTTCTTACTCACAGAACTCTTTTATTTAAAATACCAACGTGAAAAAAAAAAAAAATAAAATACCAACGTGCACAGCTAAAAATATGTATTTTTCTATTTCCCCATGTAGTTAGCAGTGGCCCTGTGTCACAAGCTGATTAAGAGAAAATCTACAAAAAAGGTTTCTGGAAGTATTCATATTTTCCTGCTAAAAGAGATCTGGCTGGCTCTGTTCTTTACCTTTTCTACCCTACTACAGCCTAGAATTCAGACATAATGCTAAAAGGCAGAGCAGCTATCATGAGACCGGGGGCAGAAACATAAAGGCAAAAGTTGACATGTAAGGATGCCAGTTACGAACTAAAGTAAAAGCTTGGGTCCCTGATAGTCTCATGGACCCACTACACCAGCTACTACACTGCTTACTTCACAGCTGCGTGTCATATAAAGCTAAAGAAAAAAAAAATCTGTAGTCAGGTTTTCTGTTATTTGTTGAATATTCCTAGCAAGTTATCAAGTGGTTTTACCTCCCATGCACCCTTCCTCAGGAAGTTACTAGACGATGTGCTCCACAAAAATAAGGAATAAGCTAAGAAAGAGAAAGTTATGGTGCTCAGAAAACAGGTGATCCCCACAGAGGAAAGATGCAAAACAAATTGCAAGTGTCTTAGTAATAAGGGTAGTCTTGAGACAACAGCTGTACTATATCCTAAAAAGTAACCAGTTTATATTGGAACAAAAGAATAAAGGGCTCCAGGAGAGAGAACATTAAATAAAAATAAATAATGGGGTGCCTGGGTGGCTCAGTTGGTTAAGCGACTGCCTTCGGCTCAGGTCATGATCCTGGAGTCCACTGGATCGAGTCCCGCATCGGGCTCCCTGCTCGGCAGGGAATCTGCTTCTCCCTCTGACCCTCCCCCCTCTCATGTGCTCTCTCTCATTCTCTCTCTCAAATAAATAAATAAAATCTTTAAAAAAATTTTTTTTAAATAAATAAATAAATAATGGATAGATTACCTGATGTGTTTGATCATGTTGAAAGGAATTTAAAAGTTCTCCCAGGAAGTCTGGGAGGTAGAGACTGGTACACAGGAAATAAAGCAAAAACAGGTTTTCTTTTAGAAAAAGCAATTATTAACTCTAGGAAAAACAAAAAGTTGCAAGAAGTATGAAATGGAATCACAGAACACTGTGTGGCTCGACTGTGAACAATATTTGCAAAGTCTTTATAGTGCAAACATTGAATTTTGTTTTTTAAAAATTATGGCAACACTATACTGGAAAGTTGGAAAGAAGAGATGCCAGTGTGGCTGGAGTAGAATGAGCAAGGGGAGGGGGGATAGTAAGAAAGGAGATCATAGAGGAAAACAGGGATTAGGTTATCCAGAGGTTTGAATTTTCTTTCCTAAGAGCCGTAGAAAGCCACTGGAGAGTTTTAAACAGGAAACCAGCATGATCCAACTCATGATTGAAAATGATGACTTTGGCTGTAGTATTGGGAAGAATACACTGTGCAGGGGCAGGAGGGAGAGCCAGCAGACCGGTTGGGAGACTACTCTAGCAGCGATACGAGGCTTCTGCGGAAGAGAGAAAAAGAAATAAAAAAGGAGGGCTGGGTCGGGGAAGGCATACTTTGAAATGGTGGGGAGAGGGCGGATGGGAATACACATTGGAGGTTGGTGGCTTTTAGAGACAAAGGGATGACTTTGTGTGTGTTAGCATGAGACATCTGGAGAGGCAGAGGGTGTTATTACTGAGCTGGGAAGACTGGAGGAGGAATGGATTTAAGAGTAGAGGGTTTGGGGTCTAGGGTTCTGTTTTGGACCTGCTGGGTACCAAGTAGGCAACTGGTCTGGGTTATGGGGGTAACACACAGGGAGACAACCCCCAGGATATACTGTGCCTTCAACAAGTAGTAATTCCTCCTTTTCTCTTGCCAACACAAAGACATGTTTTATTATATGCTTGGATTTTTAAGGAACTGCAATGCTATGATTTGGGGCACTGATTGATTTAAGAATTGATAACTGAGAATCCAAAGATAAACAAGAAGTGAATGCTGGGATATCACAACCTATACCCCATTCAAAACGTTTAGGTCTAACTGGTTTTCTATTTGAGTCAGATCTACCCCAAGGAAAATCTCTCTCTACCAAAGCTGCAGTCATAAAATAATAAAAGTCCCCCACTCTGGGAAATAATTTCCCATTATTAGCTTGATTTAGTCAACATTTTCTTCTAAAACAAAGAATTAATATTCTCCATGCTCAGTGGACTTCTATGTGTATAAAGCATATGCCAAGTTAAGGACCACACTCTGAGATTGAGTTTTAAAAAGTTCCTTCTCGGGGCGCCTGGGTGGCTCAGTTGGTTAAGCGATTGCCTTCGGCTCAGGTCATGATCCTGGAGTCCCGGGATCGAGTCCCACATCGGGCTCCCTGCTCAGCGGGGGGTCTGCTTCCCTCTCGTGCTCTCTGTCTCTCATTCTCCCTCTCTCTCTCTCAAATAAATAAATAAAATCTTTTTTAAAAAAATAAATAAAAATAAAAAATAAAAATAAAAAGTTCCTTCTCAACAAACATTCAAAAGGACCAATTTGTACAAAAGTCCTTCAAAAACACTTTTGATCACTATTATTTTCATTTGCAGGTCACAGAGCTCTTTAAACAGCAGTGTTCTTTCTTGGCTTCCCCATTGTTTTTCACTGCTTTGTGCAATCCTTTTATTTAATCATTAATTCCCCAATTGGTCTCCATTGCTGTGTGGATTTTAACGAGAGCTGGGTTTTAGCCACATTACAGTAGATGTGCTGGGGGTGGAGGGTACCAGTGGCAATTGCAAAATAAAACGTACCATAAAGTGGTAACGGCTCATGATTGAGGCCAGTTGTTGAAAAATAAATGCCTGTTACCGAGAACCATAGAAATTTAGAGCTGGAGGCCAAGGCAAGCCATTCATTGGTAGGCCGACAGCGCCTCTAGCGGCAGAAAGGCCGCGGTGGCGGCTTCCAGGAGAAGCTTCCGAATTTTTAAAAAGGCACCTGCTGGGTGAGTCCTCATTATGCAAAAACAAAGGCTCCACAGGTGCCCGATTTTAAGGGGATACGACTCGAGGAAATCTAGATCCATAAAACAGCTATAATACCTACATTTTAGTTTAACTTCGAAATGAGTTGTCGCTTTACACAGGTTGATTCAAGGATTATTTATAGCCGAGAAACTGACGAAGTGGCGGGAGGCGGAAAAATTCTGCTCCAGTTTGGCCGCTACGGACGAGGGAGCGGAATAAAAAAAAGTGGAAAGGAGCGGAATAAAAAAAAAAAAAAGTGGGAAAAAAAAAACCTAAAGAAGTAGGTGAAGAGTCAACTTTTTAAAAACGGAGACCGCTGTGGAACGCAGCAGGCACACCTGCGGAGAGGGGATGGCTCACCTGTGTGGTTTCTGTGCCTCCCCCCAGTGTAGCCCTGGGGGAGGTGGGGTGGAAAGGAAACTTCATGGAGGGCTGACTCAGAACTTGGGAAGTAGGGAGTGGATTCGCCAAGGGAGGGTGTCAGGAAGAAGACCCGACGCACATCATCCCGAGCGACACGTGTAACTGTCAAGACTTAGACACCTTGGCAAAGGACACCCGAAGGGGAGGGGAGCCGAGACCAGCCCCCAGGCTGTGCCGTCCGGGCTACCCGCTGGTGTCTTGCGGGCCCCGAGCCAAGTGTTCCCTCCTCGCCCACCCCCCCCACCCCCCGGGGGAACTGGCACCTTGGGGAGGAGGGGCTCCCCTAGATGCGCCCCCGCGCGCCGCCCCGCCGCTTGGCGTGTCCCCCCCCCACGACCCAGTGCGGCGCGAGGTGCCCCGGGGGGACGATCCCCAGCCCGCGGACGGCCGCGGGCGGCGGGCGGGAGAGGAGGCCGGGGCCCGGCGGGAGAGCCTGCGGGGCTCGGCGACTTACCTCGGGCCGCGGGGGGCGCCAGCAGAGCCCCGGCCAGGGCGAGCAGGAGGGCGCGGGCGGGGGGCGCGGGCGGCGGGCGCGCTGCCATGGTCGCCGGCCTTCGGTGCAGCAGCTCTCGGGGCCGGGCGGCGAGCGCCGCACCATCCCACGCGGGCGCCGAGCGGGGCCCGGGCGGCGCGACCCGAGGGATGTCCTGCCGCAGGGAGTCAGCCCCGAAGCCCTCGCGCAGCGCCCGCGCCGCCGAGGAGCGAGTCTAGGCTTTCATGTTTTTGAGAAAAGTTTCCCCCGCGGGGTGTGCGTGTGTGCGCGCGCGCGCGCGGCTCTGGCACGAGCCAGCCTTGACCGTTGCAGTGAACGAGCAAACTGTCCGCGTTGGCCCGGGGACGAGGAAGATCGTTGGCGAGAGGAGGCAGGCCTGTGAAATGGATCCGCGGCCAGCAGTCACCGCTCTCATTACCACGGAACAAATTACCGTCTCCCCCGCACCCCGCCCGCCGGCGGCGTCCCGCGGGTCCTAGAGACCGCTCAGGGGGCCCCGCCAGGGTCCCGCCCAGAGCCGGCGCCCGCCCGCCGCCGCGGCCGGGGGGCGGGGGGGGCTGGGGGGGCGCTCGGTGCCGGGCGCCTCGCGGGCCGCGCGCCCCGGCCGCACAGACGTGGCTCGGTGGCGGCGCGGGCGCCCGGAGCGCACGCTTCCCCGCCCCGGGATGATGTGGCCGCGGGGCCCCGGGCGCCCGGCTGCCAAGAGCACACGCGGCTGCACGGTCCAGCTTTCCAGGCTGAGGCCGGAAGGGCTGACTCGGCTGCTCGCTCCCCGGCTCGCCGGGAACCCGCGCAACGCGGGTAGCAGGTCCGAAGGGCGGTGCGGCGCCCGCGCGGGCGTCCCGGGCCTGTGCCCTCAGCCCCGTCGCGGACACTCGGGCCTGAGAAATAATCGGACTCGCAGGCACGCGACGACGTCTGGGCATTACGTTTTTGGTGTACGGCTTTAGGGCTTCCGTTGATAGGTTGGCTCCCGTTTCTTTCCCTATGGCATGGGACCCACAAAAGGGTGTCCCTCGCGGCGTCCCCAGCTTTCCTGATCATGAGAAGCATCTGAGTGCGCCTGTGGGAAATACAGAGTCCCGGGCGCCCTTCCCCGCCTGTGGCTGGAGACCCTGCGGGCCACGGAGCCAGGGGAGCGCCGGGTGTCTGGGAACCCCGGGCGAAGTCAACGGAGGGCCTTGCCTTGAGTTGAGTCCTAGTTCTTGGCGGTCTCCGCCCTTTCCGCCAGAGAGCCTCGCACAGCCACGACGTCCTTTTGCTAACAGGACTTGTCGCCCTCTCCCAGACGGTGGGGATCCACAGAGACGCAGCTAGGCTCAGTGAAGGAGCGAGGTGCATTAAGGATGGTTGCTACGACCCACCAAAGACAGGATGCTGTCCTGTGACTTCTCACCAATTCCTGACTCCGCCCGCGCTCCAAGGGCCAGTTAGCCAGGGTTTGAGGAAACTCCCCGGACTGTCTTCTGCTCTGTACAGGAAAGCCGCTTTCCTATCTCCCACCCGCTCCCAGGGTTTTGCAGCGTTCTCAAGAACCGCGTCAACCCTCCCAACAAAGTACAAGCCTTTAAAAACAAAACAAACAAACAAGAAAATCCTGAAAGCCAGAGGCACTGGCCAAAGGGCCCACCTTCTCCGTGCCAGGGCACCCCAACACTCCATCCGGAAACAAGGCCCAGTTTAAATCCCGCCCTGCTTAATCCTTACCCCTCTGCCTGGCCTTTCTCTGATCATTCATTCCCTCAATCAACAATTAGCAACGCTATGTTAGGGACTTGGGAAACCAAATGAAGGAGAAATGCCTTTTGCCTTCAAAGACTTTTCTGTCTTGTAGGACAAACTGATAAATCAGGACTATTGAACAGTGTGACCGGTTACCTAACCTACTTAATTATCACTGGGTTGCTTGTTAACTACTATATTATTTACTAAGGGACTTCATAGGATCTCAGTATTGTGCCAAAGTAATGCGGCCAGTGCATTATTTCAACTTAAAATCCTGAATATACAGATGAAGAAACTAGTGTATAAAGGTTAAGAGGCTTCCCCATGGCCACAGGGCTAAGGAGTAGGTCAGAGCCCACACCAGATGTTAGCAAATACAGCCTGTGTCTTTAACTCTGACTTCTAAGCTTCAGGTTCAGCATCTGTTAAGTGAAAGTAAAAGACAAACCTCCCAGATGGTAGAGAGCATTAAATAAGCTAATACAGTGCCCCACCCCCAACCCACGGGATTCCTGACCTTTGTTACGAATTCAAATCCCCTGGTATTTGCACTGGACATTATTATTAGGACGGTCTGGGAAGTTTTGGCAAGTACTCAAGTGGTTCTGATACTTTGGTTCCAAGAAGTTCAGAAACAATGGGCAAGGGAATTAGAAATTGTTTCCTTTGAAGTCAGTGGGACAGACTAGTTTGAGGATGAGTCTAGCTGCTGGCCTCTTGAATCTTTCTGACTGGACAAATTTTTTATTCATAATGGGCCTCATATGTGCTGTGCCCTGGGCTGGGGGCTTTCTATACGTTCCCTTCTAATGATCCGTTTCTTTTTGCTCTTCTATATTCAGCCGTTACTCTTGACTGTGGAAGTCCAGTTTTTGTTTTGTTTTTTTTTAACCTGGAAGTTGCAAGGCTCTTTCCAAAGTGTTACATGTACCCCAAGACTGCCCTTGGTTTGTTTTTGACTGAATGAAAGAAAACCGCCAATGCAGGAAGGAAAAAGTAAGACAGGAAAGAAAATCCTAGCCACAGCCCTGGTGTCTCAACCATTTAATTCCCCATCTCTGTGAAACAAGGAGTCTGGGCTGACACTCCATCCATAAAGACGTCATGCTCATCCATAACAGCCGGCTAGGCAGAGAGAATCCTCCATCCGGCAGATGGTTGGCCTTTGGATGGGAACTCTGCCTCCTCATCCACAGGAAATGGAAGCCGACGTGGCATTCAATACTGGATTGTTAGGTCATGGTATAGGGTCAGAGGCCAGGATCTGCTCATTAAAATTTCAGATAGATGGCTTGTTGTCCCTTCCTTTCCAGAAGAATTGACCTTTGCAATACCATTTCCTGTGTGCTATTTTTGCTGAACAGCCTGGGCATTCATGAGCAGGGCACTTATTACTTACCCAAGCTCACATTTAGCTCAATCCACTTTGAGTACAAGCAGATGAGAAATGGAGGCAGATTTTCCTAAGTCAGGACTTTACAGGTAGCCACTCCTGACTCCTGTAATGGGTCAGCCTCCCTGCAGCTCGACCCACTGATGGAGCTTCCAACACAGGCTCACAGAACAGCTTTTATCCATCCAAGCACAGTTCCTTGCCGCAAAAGTAAACAAACACAATCGCCCCGTAATGAAGATTCTTGGAAACCTTTTTAATTTCATCTCTTGGGGGGCTTGAAACTCATGACCCTCTCAGTCCATGATGACACGGAGTCCATTTTCTTTTCATAGATCTCACTTCGAGAACCCGTGCTTCACTTCAAGAGGCTTCTCAGTTCTCACTGCAAGAGCACCCAAGAAAGAAGAATGCTTTGGGGGAATCAGGGGCTCGTGGGTGCTCTGGGTCAGAAGGGACATGGAAAATCATTTAGGCCAGCTCCCTTCAACCCCATCTATACTCACCTGGGGCACCCTGCCAACTGACGATCCAATATCTCCTCATATACCTACTGTGATGGGGAACTCATCACTCATTACTCAAGAGAGCCCATTTTTAAGTACCCCAAGTGACTGACAACACCCAGGAGGAACAGAGAGCCACCCCATGGCCAGCATGCCAGCCGTGGAGATAGCCCCCCGCCCCCCAGCTGCATTTGCCTATCCTTTCCCACTGTCACTGGGGCAGGCTGGATACACAGGCAGTACTCAGAAAAAGGCAAACTGGGAATCTCAAAAATAAACATGAACTCCCAAGAATGACCAAATATTTGAAGATCCCCCTTCATTCAAGAACTAAAGCTTAATCTCCTTCCCTTTTCATGGAGGCTGAGCTGGGAGACTCATTCTAATGAATAAAATATGGCCAAAGTGACCGTGCATGAGCTCTGAGACTAAAGCATGAAGAGCAGGAGTGACTCAGGTTGCTCACTCTGAAGAAAACCAGCTGCCGTGAGGACACTCCAGCAGTCCCAATGCAATGCTGCATAACAAATTACCCCCCAAATTACTGGCTCAAAACAATAAATATTATCTCGAGCAGTTTCTGTGTGTGAGGAATTTGGGAGCAGCCTCGCTGGGTGCGGTGGCCATGGGGTCTCTCATACACTGCCCTGCGCTGCCAAATCTTGACTGCGCTGGAAGCTCCACTTCCAAGATGGCTCACTCCCATGGCTGATTTGGGGGGTAATTTGTTATGCAGCATTAGACGACTACTTCACGCTTAACAAAGCAAACATTCCATTTCCACGAGAAAGTCTGCAAGGATTTTAATATCAAGGGTACCTCCCTTCTTGCTTGAGCTTTGAATATAAGTTATAGATGGATGCAGGGCGCCTGGGTGGCTCAATCGGTTGAGCGTCTGACTCTTGGTTTCGGCTCAGGTCATGATCTCAGGGTCATGGGACCAAGCCCTATGTCTGTCTGTGCTGGGCACAGAGTCTGCTGGAGATTCTGTCTGTCTCCCTCTGCCCCTCCCCTACTCGCTCGCTCTCTCTCCAATCAATAAATAAAATCTTTAAAAATTAATAAAAAAAGTTATAGATGGATGGCCACAGGCCTCAGCTATGTACCAGCATGATTATCAACAGTACCCTCCATTCACTGTCACAAGCATCACGGTTTGCAAACAAATTGTACCGCTAGCCTATCTGTAGATTAACATCTTTTAGGTGGTGTGTGGGGGCAGGAGATGGAGGCAAGCGTACAAGCTTGGTTCTCCATCTTGACTCAGTTCCTCCTATGAATACGGTTGAACGTGGGACTGAACTTAACGTTGCCGGATAGTATACCTACTAGTCTAGCCGTGGCCACCAAGGCAAACTGTCGAGGGGCGTGGACTTCCACAAGCTTTCCGTGAGTCTTTTCCCTCCCCAGTGAGCCAGGCACGCAGTGATCTGATCTAAACTGCCACTTCCGGACGTGGTGATACATTTTTTTACCAGCTGCCAAAGAACCCGCAGGCATTTGCTGTTCGCTATATCTTGAACACATCAAAGCGAAAATGTGATTAAAGGCCATGCTCGCTCTTGGATGGAGAGACCCCACCAGGAGAAGCAAAGATGCTCCCACCCGGCAAGGCTAGCCACTCCCTCATCGGGTTTCTGCTCCGAAAAGAGGCACAGGCTCTCAGTGGCCAGGAGAGCTGGGATCCGTGGGGCCTCTGGAGGGGAGCCAGGCCCCCCCTACCCACTGGCCTAGTCCCCAGCAGCTTGCCTCCCAGGGAGGGGTCAGCCCTATTCGACAGTAACCCCAGGGAGGGCCATTCCAAGACGTCCATATGGTTCTGAAACTCCCTCTTTACCTAATCTCTCTGGTGGCAAATTGGACCTTTGCTGCTTCTGTGCTCTTGAAATTGGAAAATAACTGGATCCCGACCTCTCTCTATGTATT